TTAGGTACATCCTCTACACCTCTCTCTCAAATCTCTAGTGTTAAAGGCTGTTTTTGACTACTTAGGTGAGGCAAAGACTCAAAGCCTCCAGAGATCACCTTTGCCTACAGACTGATAGGATTGGGACTTGAATTGCCCCCCCAGGCAATTGTCCTCAGGTGTAGTGAGTTTTTTTCAACAGGGTGGGGCAGTAGCTTCTGCCTGAAGGCTAATTGTTATTTTTAATCTCTTAAGTAGCTCAGGGCAAGGTGTTTTCCAATAGGGTGTGTCACCTGTCTTCCCCCCAGGCAGGCAAATGTCTATGTGGGAAAGATGTCCTCTGCTGGGTGAGTGAATGACTCAGCCCAGGAAACATGGGGTGTCTGCCTTCTTAGCTCTATCCCTTGAGTCCCCATTCCTGGCTTCTGCTCTCACAGCTCCAATCCACTTCACCCTCCCTCTGCTGGAGCACAAGGTGGGTGGCTCCATAGGGAATTTTGTGTGTTGGCCCTTTAAGAGGGTGCCTGAATTTTCAGCTGTCACTCCCTGGCAGACAGCACCCTGCTGCTTTTCACAGCCAGATGTTATGTGGGTACCCTTCTCAGTTCTGGTGCTCTCCTGGAGGGCCCAGCTTGTGGATTAGATGCCAGAATTCTCAGTGGCAATCCCCCACAGCTGAGATATCTCTCCGGGACTTCAGTTGCTGTCTGTGGGCGCCCAGCCAGCCCTTTTGTGCCTCCACCCCTCCTACCAGTCTCTATGGGGTCTCCACTTTCCGTCCTCAGATATCAGGGTTCTCTCCTACAAGTTTTCCATTGATTATTCAGGAAGTTTTTCTGTGTTTTAGTTGTAATTCCAGTTTGTTCCTGGGAGCATGTCCGTGCAGCATCCACTTACTCTGCCACCATTTTTAATCTCTCAGGACAGACCCTCTACATTCCTGCAGCAGACAAGGGCTAAGGAGTGACTGGGATGTTAACTGCAGAGGGAGTCAGGTCACTGGCAAGCATGAGCCCCACCATGATCCTAGCATAGAGAGAAGATACCATGTAAGTTGGAGGGGGAGGGCAAGCAGTGCAAACAAGATCTGAAATGGATCTTTCTTCTGCGGATCAGATGGGGAGAGTCCTTACACTGTGCCTCCAGGGCACACACATTCCCCTACCCCACCAGTAGTGCTGGTCATGTGTGAACCTGACTGTCATTCCCAGACCTTCACCAACTGCCCACTGCAAGATGAGAACATCCAGCTCCTAAATGGATTTCAAAAACCTCCTGTTCTGACCCACCACAGTCTCTAATCTCACTCCAAGATATACTACACTACTTCTGGTGCCCCCACCAGCCACACTTCCTGCCTCCCTGTCCTCCTTCTATTTCTGTGTTCATCAGTGACCTGTCCTCCTGGGGACTCTTCATTATCTCTACTATGTTCACTGCAATGATCTGAGTGTCTGTCTTCCCCATACACTGGCAGCCTCCCCGGCACAGACTGTGAGATTTCTCCCTAGAGCTCTGTCTCCCCAGCCTGGGCCTGTACCTGCCAAGTGCCCAGCAACTGTCTGCAAAGTAAAATGATGGATGGACCAGCAAACACAGGCTGTAGCAATGACTGCTGCCTTCCCAGTTTCCATACTCCTCTCTTCCTTAGAGAAAGAACCCCATTTTATTAGCGTAGTAAATATCCCAGCTAAAATATGTCCCTAGGTGTGACCAACAGATTAAGTCTTGGCCAGTGAGACATGGGTGGAAACTGCTGCTTTAAACTTCTGACAAGGCTCCTACAGGAAATGAACTCAGCTGAGAGGGAGCTCTTCCCCTTCTGGCTACGTGGAATGCAGACAGGATGGCTGGAGCTTCAGTAGCCAACTTTAGACCATGAGGCAACCTTGAAGATGAAAGCCACATACTAGTATGATGAAGTAGAGACAGAAACCTGGGTCCCTGATGACTCTGGAGCTGCCACACTAGCTCTGTGTGAACAAGAAATAAATTCTCTATTGGTTAGGCCACTGTTATTTGGGTTTTGTTACCTGATCTTAACTGATATGAAGGCATAAGATAGATAAAAGGAGAAGAGACCCATATTCTTCTTCTATTATTTGTCTAGTCAGGAAGCCGCCTTGATTGGGGACATGCCTACCTTATCTCTACCTTTAATCCCATGTTGGGACAGTGAGTTCAGTTGTGGGCCTCTGATGTTCTAGCTCAATACCCCAGTAATCAGACCATCCAGTCATCTGGAGAAGCACTCATGAGGGCCATATAGAACCTCACAGGAGGGTCCTGGCAGAACACCCCGCCTAGTGGCAGGCTGTGGCCAGCTATAGAGGACCGTGGGGGGCTGTGGAGGGCTATGAGCAGCTATGGTGGGCTGTGGCAGGCTGTGGCGGGCTGTGGGCAGCTATGACAGGCTATGGGGAGCTGTGGGCGGCTATGGCAGGCTGTGGCAGGACTTCCTCGAGAATGACCACTGCCATCTTAGGAATTTCTGTTCTCTTCAGCTTTGCTCTCGAAGCCCTCTCACCTCATCCAGTGCCCTCATCAGGGAGGGAAGTTTGACCTCCTAATTTTAAACTGCCAGCCTCCCTTGCCCCATGCTTTTTATAATCTCACACTTTTCTCCTAGTAAAACATCTGTAAGGATCTGCTATTTTAGGTCTCAGGGTCAGGAGATCTTGAGTTCAGTCCTGCATGGTTAACCCTGAACACATTTTCCCTACTTGTTCATTTTAAATAAAACAACCCTTCTCAAATAATTAAAACAGAACCACTCCTCTTCTGGATATGAATGAAGGTGAAGGAAACAAAACACTAACTTGAAAAGATTTCTGCACCCCCATGTTCACTGCAGCATTATTTACAATAGCTAAGACATAAAAACAACCTAAGTATCCACTGATGAATGAGTGGATAAAGAAAATATGCTACATATATACAATGGAATATTATTCAGCCATAAAAAAAATCCTGCCATTTGCAACAACATGCACAGACCGTGAGGGCATTATTCTGTGACATAAGTCAGACAGAAAAGACATATAGTATATGATATCACTTATATTTGGAATAAAAAACAAATGAACAACTCATAGATACAGAACACACATTGATGATTGCAAGGGTGAGAAAGGATTTGGAGGAGAAATGCCTAAAGGAAATCTAAACATACAAACTTCCAGTATAAAATAAATTAGTTCTAGGGATGTAATGTACAGCATGGTGATGATAGTTAACAATACTGTTTGCATATTTTATTTTTTAATCCTCACTTGAGGATATTTTTTTCTTCATTGATTTTTAGAAAGAGGAGAACGGAGGGGAAGAGAGAGAGAGAGACACATCACATCAATTGGTTGCCTCCCGTACATGCCCTGGCCAGGGCTGGGGATCAAATCCATAACCGAGGTACAAGCCCTTGACCAGGAATCGAACCTACAACCCTTAGTTCCATGGGCTGACACTCTAACCACTGAGCAAAACCAGCCAGGGCTGTATTACATGCTTTTTAAGCTGCTAATAAAGTAGAGCTTAAAAGTTCTCATCACAAGAAAAAAATATTTAACTATGGGTGGTGATGGATGGCAACTAGACTTACTTGGGTGACCATTTCCTGATATATACAAACATTAAATCATTATGTTGCACATAATGCAATGTTATAGGTCAATTATATATACACTGTTATATGTCAATTATACCTCAATTTTTTAAAAAGCTGTCTGTGTTATATCAGGCACTATTTCCAGGGCCAGGGGCTCTGAGATGAAAGATTCTGATGTTACTGAGCTTGCTTTAATGAGTAAGAGTCAGAAACCCAGGTGACCAGAGCTGTCCCAGAGGTTGATGGTGAGTGTCAGGGAATGCAAGCACTGGCTGGGCCTTCAGCCATCCCCTGAAAAAGGAGCCAACTTACCTTCTCTGGGCCTCCTGTGTGAGAAGCACAGTTCAAAGTAAGAAATAGATACATGCACCATCCTGCTTCATAGTAGCTATTGTGTGAAGCCTTCTTTTTTATTCGTATTTTAATTATTAACCCTCATTGGGCACTCCCTACCTCCCAGGCACCGTTTTAAGCCGATTTTGCACATAACTCAGTTAATTCTCACCACAACCCTATGAAGTGGGTACTACATTAGCCCATTTTTACAGGCAGGGAAACTGAGGCCCAGAGAAATTAACCCTTTGTGTGCCATTAGCATCTATAGACACAAGCGAGATAAAAGCATTTTTGGATGCATGGCAGTTAACTGGTTAAATTAGCCAAAGCCCGTGGTCGGCAAACCGTGGCTCACGAGCCACATGCGGCTCTTTGGCCCCTTGAGTGCGGCTGTTCCACAAAATACCACGTGCGGGCGCGCACGTACAGTGTGATTGAAACTTCGTGGCCCATGCGCAGAAGTCGGTATTTTGTGTAAGAGCTGGTATTTTGTGAAAGAGCCACACTCAAGGGCCCAAAGAGCCACATGTGGCTCGCGAGCCACGGTTTGCCAAGCCGCAGTTTGCTGACCACTGGCCAAAGCCACAGAACTGGTGTCGGACCTGGATCCAAACTCAGGATTGGTGTCAACCCTGAGACAGTGTGCTGTGACCTCAAGTGCTGTAACTGCCACAGATGGACAAAGGGGGACTCAGATGCTTGATGGTTACCTGACAGGCAGGGGGAAAATCCAAACCTGTCCCAGATTCCTGAGGCCTCAGAATTAGCACTCACAAGCCAGGGCCGCTGTCCCCATTCGAGGGTTCTGTGGAGACCCTGCAGGGTAACTCTGGAGATCACTAGAATCACCCCCTCTGTCTTAATCCCTGGAGGCCCAGAGAGGGTAACATTTCATCTGCATGGGTATCAGGAATCACTAAGCACTGCTCTTCTACATACTTCATTTCAGCCTGAAACTCAAAGAAAGAGATCGCTGCTCTAAAAGCTATTCTGAATCATCAGGGCTTTAACACAAATTCACCAGAACAAATGAATAATTCCCATCATGGAAGCAGGTGGAGTGCAGGGGCCCCAGGCTCACCTTGAGGGGCAGGTAGGCAACAATGGTGATGCGGGCACTCAGGTGGATGTGGCCATGTTTGTAGCTCACCAGAAGCACAGTGTGCCCCTGGGCCTCGGCTCTTACGCTGACACCGCTGCAGTACTCAGACCCTGGCTTCAGCCGCCCTGCAAGAAGAGAGCCAGGTAGTCACTCTGAATTTGCCTTTGTTGAAAGACCACACGGGCAGACAGTCCTTTCATCCTGGGCTAGACACACAACCTAATTTTCTAACGTAAAATTATAATTCCCATACCAAACAGTACAATCGTCAGAAACAGACAGTTCACAATGACCCCTCCACACCCCCCCCCATAAACTGAGCACACCCTGTACCCAGGACTGGGATCAAGAAACGTGACCTGTACCCTGGAATCTCCCACGGACCCTTCGGGTCACTAGCTCCTCCCCAAAGGAGAACCACTGTACTTCTGCTGGCTTCTCTATCTACACTAATAAAAGAGAAACATGGTAATTGGCGTACGACCGCTACCCTTTTCATTGGCTAATCAGTGAGTATATGCAAATTAACTGTCAGCCAAGATGGCGGCTGGCAGCCAGGCACTGAAGCGAGCAGGGAGGCTTGCTTGCTGCAGA